TTTTTTTTTTTTCTCCGCTGTAGCTGGTAAACTGCTTTCCACGGCAGCTGCACCTTCACAGTCGCCTGGCCACAGGTCAGGGTGCTCGTTTCCCTATCCCTTCCTATCGTTGGGCATGCAGGTGTTTTGTCTTACTGTGCGTGTAGACGGTGGCTCGGAGTCCTGCTCAAACAATCTCCCAGATTATCTTCCCTAGCTAGGTTACATCTAGCACCTCTTCTGACCTCAACATTTACAATAAGATAACGACGGTAGTTAAGCGTAGCCTGTTTTTGAAACACAGGTACTGAGGAGGGATGGTCAGTAGTGAAGTCACAGGTCTCAGAGGAGCAGGTGTTGGGTTTAGCTCTGTCACAGTCCTGCAGCAGAGCCCGACTCTGGATCTGTGCCTGGAGTGTGAAATGGAAACACTGGCTTGCCAAATACCGGTCTTGAGAAGAAGTCAGCTGCCACTATCCAACCCTTGTACAAAAGGGGGCGAGTGCCATGGGGAGAATCTGAGCTCTGAAGCAGTGTCTACAAATACATTTAGGACAATGAATAATTAATATGCAAAAATCCCTTAAGGAATGTAAGAGAAAATTTTTCTACTATATTTTCTACAAAAGTTAAGGAGGCTTTCATATTAGAGCCATCTTTACAAGCAATGAACCTGAGAAATATTTTCAAAATCAGAATGGCCGAATGAAGTGCTGAACTGCGCTGTGCTATTTATCTTTTAAATCATTGCACCCTGGAAGGACTGGAAGTGGCAAATGTAGCACCAGTATCTAAGAGAGGCTGCAGAGGTGATCTGAGGAACAACAAATCACCTCAAGAGTATCGGTAATTCTGTCAGGCAAGTTGATAGAAACTGTCATGGACAAGGGACTTGGTGAGCACACAGATGAACACAGTGAAGAGTCTATTAGATTTCTTTGAAAGGGTCTAAGAATATACATGAATAATGTTAATTCACTTGATGAATTAGCATTATTCATAAGCAGAGGAAGCTCCAGCTGAACCCGAGGAAGAACTTCTTCCCTCTGAGGGTGATGGAGCCCTGGCCCAGGCTGCCCAGGGAGGCTGTGGAGTCTCCTTCTCTGGAGATATTCCAGACCCACCTGGACGCGGTGCTGTGCAGCCTGCTGTGGGTGACCCTGCTTTGGCAGGGGGG